CCTCAGGCCTGGTGCAGCCTCAGCCCCTCCACCGGGGATGTAGCCGCAGACAACACCTCCATAGACTTTCCTTTTGGAAAATGGTTCCCAGATCTATATGTAGACCTTTGTGATATTGTAGATAGATGGACCAACCCGTCTGGGTGGGGATGTAACTCCCCTTGGGGTAAGGCAGCAACTAGACAGACCCGTTTTTATGTCTGCCCTGGGCATTCTCTTAGCCGCCATCTAACAGCTCAATGCGGTGGACCCCAGGATGGTTACTGTGCCTCCTGGAGTTGTGTTAGCACTGGACACATCTGGTGGACCGCCCCTGTAACTACTGATTTCATTACGGTGGGGCCCTATAACCGTAGCAGCCCAGGCACCTATCGCTGCGGTGGGCAATCATGTGGCCCATGCTATGATTCCAACCATTCTCCCCACACAAAAGATGCCACAGAGGGAGGAAGATGTAACTTACTAAAAATCTCCTTCACAGAGTTAGGTAAACAGCAGACAGATTGGACAGGAGGAAAAATTTGGGGCCTCCGCCTTTACGTGTCAGGAGTGGACCCTGCTACCACCTTTATGATACAATTACAAAGGATTGACCCCCCTTCAAAACCTGTAGGCCCAAATCCGGTCCTCCCCGATCGAGGGATAAAGACTCTGCCTAAGCCCGCTCAAACTCCTGCCCAGTCATCTACCCCTAAGCTTACCCCAATTACCCCTTCTATTAGCCCGGATCCAGGCACTGTAGATAGATTATTCTATTTGGTACAGGGAGCCTATCTAGCACTCAATGCATCCAGTCCTAATTCTACTCGAGATTGCTGGCTCTGCTTGTCTGCTGAGCCCCCCTATTATGAAGGGATTGCCTTTATGGCCAGTACATCCAATATCACCTCCCCATCAGCAAGGTGCAGGGCTGTCCCTCACCAACTTACCCTGCCCGGAGTTTCAGGACAAGGGCTTTGTTTAGGAAAGGTGCCCTCCAGTTACACCCAGTTTTGCAATAAAACTATAATCCCCTATATAGGAAGCTACTATCTTGAGGCACCCAATGGTACCTATTGGGCTTGCAACACAGGATTAACACCCTGTATATTTGCTTTAAGCCTTGATGTTTCACATGAATATTGCATTTTGGTACAGCTTTGGCCTCAAATCAAATACTATTCAGGGGAGATACTGGTCTCACAGGCACAGCGCAGAGTGATGAGAGAGCCTGTCTCTATGACCATTGCCCTTATGCTGGGGATTGGTGGCCTTGTTGCCGGTATAGGAACCGGAACAGCTGCCCTTGTACAAAACAATCAACTGTTGCAATTACAAATAGCTATGAACACGGATCTTGAGGCCATAGAAAGATCCATCAGTGCTCTGGAAAAATCGCTGACCTCTCTATCCGAGGTGGTTTTGCAAAATAGAAGAGGGCTGGATCTCCTGTTCCTTAAGGAAGGTGGCCTTTGCGCTGCTTTAAGGGAAGAATGTTGTTTCTATGCTGACCATACTGGCATTGTCAAAGAGTCTATGGAAATCCTGAGAGAACGGTTGGCTAAAAGAAAGAGAGAGTTTGAGAACCAAAAAGGATGGTTCTCAAATTTGCTACAGGGATCCCCCTGGTTGTCTACTTTACTCCCAACTATTATAGCCCCCTTAATTGTTTTCCTATTGCTTCTTTCTTTTGGCCCATGGGCCCTTCAACGGCTAACCCAGCTTATTAAAAGACAAATTGATTCGGCCTTACCTAAAAGTATTTCGGTCCATTACCACAAATTAGTAGCAGCTGACCCGGGGGAGGAGCGAGGGTCACAGCAAGAGCTCAGGTTCAGTAATCAAGGACTCAGGTTTAATAACTCAACATGCTAAGACTGATGCAGCAAGGGAGTACTCATACGGGAGTATGCATAAGTCCTGGAACAGGGGGCAACAACGTACAGAGGTCGTCAAGACCGGCTCAACAAGGCACGTTGCCTGTCCAGGGGCGCAGCCTATGCGGCCTAAGACAGGGGCTCTCTTGATAATAAGATTCATCATCCCTTTTTGTATACAGAAGGGGGAGATGTCGAAGGCCAAAAGGGGCCTCATACTGAATCAAGAGTTAATCATTGTTAGATGACCAGAATCGCTGCGACTACAAGATGTTTTTTCCGGATAAGCTGCACAATACATGTTGCATAATGTTCTCCCTTTTCTCAGAAATAGCTGCGGTTCGCTAACAATGGGACCATGGGCTAAGATTTACCTTGCCTCTATTTCCTCTTGAAAATTTTCCATTCCTCCTGCTCCCTTACCCCGCCCTCCTGCTCCCTTACCCCGCCCTGAGTAAAAATCCCCTGCATATAAGCAAGCTTTACCTTTCAATAAAGGAGACCTTGACATTTCACAGACGGACTCTTGTCCTTTCTTGCGCCGCTTGGTCTCCTTTTCTCTCTTGCCCTCATGACCCCTTTAGGTGACAACCCCCTCGAGACCCTCGAATAACCTGGCCTGCTGGACGGGTCAACTCACATCTTTAGTTCCTGATCGTTTATCCAGCCTTTCCATTTCCAGCATGGTCTCATTCTGTGTTTTCTTTATTGTGTCTATTGCAGCTTTCATGCTTTGAACTGTTTCAAGAGCTTCCTTCACTTGTTTGGATTTTTTTCTTGGCTTTCTTTAGATTCTTTAAGAGATTTATTTATTTCTTGAATTTTTTGGTTTGTCTTTTCCTCCATTTCGTTTAATTTTTTGTTTGCTTTTTCTTCTATTTCTTTGAGGGATTTTCTTGTTTCCTCTTTAAAGGTCTCTATCATCTTGCTGAGATAAATTTTGAGGTCCATCTCGTCTTCATGCTCTGTGTTGGGCTTTTCAGATCTTGCTGGAGTGGAGTCCCTAGATTCTTGTGGTGTCATATTGGTCTTTCTGTTGTTGAGTGAAATCTTATTCTGTCTTCCTCCCATATCTTCTTTTAGTGGGTGCAGGTGGGGTCTCTCTATCTCCTCTTGTGACCCAGTGGTGTGTGTGGACCAGGAATTCAATGTCCACAACTCTGGATGGTCTTGACTCTCCTGGTAGTCTCCTCACTATTTCCTGGGTGGGTCGGCGAAATGGAAGAGTGGGTGCTAGCAGATTCAGGGCACACGGAGCTCCTCCCTGCCTGGGTGTGTCTACCCCAAGCCCGAAGGCACAGGCCACGGTTGGGGGGATGGGGGGGTCAGGGTGAGTGATGTTTTGGGCGGGAGTTGGGAAAGGGCAGAGACTCACTCACCTAGTTCCTGGGTCGGTCAGCAGAATGGAAGAGTGGGGCACTATTCCCAATTTTCTAAGAAATTGGTGGATCACGCCTGCAAATAATGGGCAAGAAAGAAAGAGCGGGACCAAGCAGGTTCCATTGTCAAGGCCCGTTTATTGATTATTACATTTGCCATACTGATTTCCAAAGTGGCTCTACAAGTTTGCACTCCCACCAGCGGTGGAGGAGTGATCCCCTTATTTCACATCCTCTTCAGCATAAGCTGTCATTTGTGTTTTTTATCTTAGCCATTCGGATGTGTGTAAGATGGAATTTCAGAGTCATTTTGATTTGCATTTCCCTGATGGCTAAGGATTTTGAACAAAATTGTGTCTTGGCTACTTGAGATTCTTGTGTTGAGAATTCACTGTTTAAATCTGCATTCCATTTTCTAATTTGCTTGTTTGGTTTTTTGATTACTTGGTCTAGTTTCTTTAGTTCTCTATGTATTTTGGAGATAAGTGCTCTGTCATATGTGGGACTAGTGAAGATCTTTTCTAATTCCATAGGCTGCTGTTTTGTCTTATTGACAGTGTCCTTTGCCTTACAGAAGCTTTTCAGTTCCATGAGATTCCATTTATTATGTATTAATTGTCCATCTAAGTGCCTGGGCCATTGGCGTTCTATTCAGGAAGTTGTCTCCTGTGCCAATGCACTCAAGGTTGTTTCCCACTTTCTCTTCTCTCAGACTCAGTGTAGTGAGATAATTGTAACTGAAGATTGGATAGAGAAAATGTGTTACATTTATACAATGGACTATTACTCAGATGTTAACAATGACACCAGGAAATCTGAAGGCAAATGGATGGGAACTAGAAATACCTAGATTCAAAAAGACAAACATGATATGTACTTACTTACAAGTGGATATTAGCTGTAAAATAAATGATAACTATGCTATAATCCACAGCCCCAGAGAGGCCAGATAACAAGGAAGGCCAAAGGGGGGGACACATGGATTTCCCTGGCAAGGGAAAATAGAGGAGATCTATGGGTTGGACTGGTGGTGGGTGGGCATGGGAACTTGAGGAATCAAGTTGTGGCTGGGTAAAGGAGGACATTGCTGAGAGAAATGACTGGAAAGGGGGGCTTTATAGAAGAGTAGAAGCCTGTTTCAAGGAAAACTTCCATGAGTCTACAAGGATAACCCCAGCTAAGACTCCTGGCAGCAGTGAATACATAGCCTGAACTGGCCATCCCCTGTGATCAGATTGATGACTACCACAGTTGTCACTGAAGAACCTTCATGCAGTGACTGAGAGAGGCAAATTCAAAGACTCATAGCCAGACACTGGACCACACTCAGGGAACCCTGCTGAAAAGATAGAGAAGGGATTATAGGAAACAGGGGGTCAGAAACATCACAGAAGCCACTAGCCTGTCTCATGGGAGCTCACAAAGTCTGAACCAACAACCAGGGAGCCTGTATGGCACTGATTTAGACCCCCTGTATATATGTGACTGTTGTCTAACTTAGTGTATATTGGGGACTGCCAGCAATGGGAGCAGGGGCTATCCTTGGTGCTTTGACTAATTCCTGGGAATTTATTTCTCATGCTAGACTAATTCCTGGGAATTTATTTCTCATGCTAGATTGCTTTTCCCAGTGTGAATACAGGGGGATGTGCTTGGTCCTATGGAAGCTTGATATGCCATGCTTTACTGATGCCCATGTGAAGATTGCCCTTTCCTGAGTGATTATGGAAGAGGAGTAGTGCCAGGGCCCGACTTGTATCAGTCCCATGCTACAGAGGCTATCTATTCCATACTGAAGTCTTTGGGGCTGAGATTGGAGCCAGCCAAATGGCCTGGGTCCATCACTGAGTCAGGGAGGGCTGGACTAGGAAACTCCTAGCTACCCAATGGCGATAAAGGCCATAAAGACAAGACACAGACTTCTTGTCATTTCCAGTCTATGCTGGAAACTTGAGTCTCCAGTTTATTCTAGCATCCTCTTAAATAGGTTTCCCACAGTGGGGGGTGACCACAGAAGACATCTACTCTCTTGTATAAAGCTGATAACAAAAAAATTTAACCCTAGCAGCATACCTAAACAGTCTCTAGGCATGTAAACAAGAACCTCAGTAAAGGTGCAGGTAGGCACATCCAGGGTTTAGGTCTGTTGTTATGTAAACTAGGAGGCATTCTCCACTGAGACCAAGCCATCTGGCGGTAATTAGCCAGACATCTGAAAGACAATGGGACATTCAGGCTCCTGGAAATAGAACAGAGGTTTGGACACCAAATTTTATAATGGATATTTTTGGGGGCCCCCACAGAGTAGATTGATGAAGGGTAGAGGGTAGGAGGATGGAGGGAGTGGGAGGAGAGGATGGAGAGGAGGCTGCATTCATGACATGAAAGAAAGAAAGAAAGAAAGAAAGAAAGAGAGAGAGAGAGAGAGAGAGAGAGAAAGAAAGAAAGAAAGAAAGGAAGGAAGAAAGAGAGGAAGGAGGGAGGGACAGAGGGAGGGAAGGAAGGAAGGAAGGAAAGAAGGAAGAAAGAAAGAAAGAAAGAAAGAAAGAAAGAAAGAAAGAAAGAAAGCAGGCAAATACAAATGTTACTTTCTCATTTTCAGCATATGGTGCTGATCTTACTGGATATCAGTATGTAGCAGAATGCAAAAAGATCCATATCTATTACCCTGAACAAAACTCAAGTCCAAGTGGATTAAAGACTTCAACATAAAACCAGATACACTGAACCTGACAGAAGGGAAAGTAGGGAATAGCCTTAAATGCATTGGCATAGAAGACAACTTCCTGAACAGAACACTAACTAACAGCACAGGCACTAAGATCAACAATGAATAAATGAGACCTCATAAAACTGAAAAGCCTCTGTAAGGCAAAAGACACTGTCAATAGAACAAAACAGCAGCCTACAGAATGAGAAAAGATCTACATCATCCCCACATCTAACAGAGATGATATCTAAAATATATAAAGAACTTAAGAAACTATATATCAACAAACCAAATAATCCAATTAAAAATGGGGTACAAATCTAAACATAGAATTCTCGATACAATAAACTAAAATGGAGTTGTAGAGAGGGGAGAGTGATGAGCAAAGGGGTAAAGACCATGCTGGGGAAACCCACAGAAACAGCTGACCTGAACAGATGGGAGCTCAAGGACCCCAGTCTGAAGGCTGGGGAACCAGCATAGGACCAAACCAGACCCCCTGAACCTGGTTGTTAGCTAGGAGGCCTGGGAAGTCTATAGAGCCTCTGGCAGTGAAAACAGTATTTATCCCTAGGGCACAAATGGACTTTGGGAGCCCATTCACCTGGGAGGACTAGTCTCCCAGCCTAGATACATGGGGAGGGCCTAGGCCCTGGCCCAAATGACTTGACAGACTTTGATGACACCCCATGGAAGGCCTTACCCTTTCTGGGGAGTACATGGGGGATGGGATGGGGGGTTGGGGGAAGGCATGGGAGGATGGGAGGGAGAGGGAACCGGGATTGGTATGTAAAATAAGATTGTTTCTAATGTAAATGAAATTTATAAAAACAAAAATCTCAAATAGCAGAGAAACACTTAAAGAAATGTTCAACATCCTTAGTTATCAGGGAAATGTAAGTCAAAACTATTTTGATAGATTGT